TATCTGATGCAAAAGAGCTGCTGCTGTTGCAAATTTTTGCAAACATGAAAATACAAAATTTAAAGAGCTGAAGATGTAAGAGGTGCTGCTAAAATTATGCTGTTATCTTATCCAGGTAGCTATATGGGCTTTAATGAGGTAGCAAAGCATATGAAGTAGAAATTATTCCAGAAATTAATAATGTTTCTTAATGATCATTAGCTAAGAGCACTTAGGGTTGGGATTGTAAAGGGAGTCTATGGTAGTTAGATGCAAAGTTGAATAAGATTTGGAGACTTGAGGGTGTTCAACTGCCTGTTTCTCTTGGGTTTCTCAGAAATCCCAGCTGTGCGGCATACACTCACACATAGTAATTGCCTGTCTGATATCAGTAATGCTGCTCTTTATGCAGTACCTACTGTCTCAGTCTGACCCTGGCTCAGACCTGAAACTGGTGCCTATGTCTCACATTTATCAGAGAAACTGAGCTCTGTCTGATATATAATTTATATACTGCACTTGTTTTTCCAGAGTTACCCAGGACATGCTCATGTTATTTTGTATCTCTCACTGTGCTGAGAGCTTCAGGCAATGACCAAAAGTCATTGTCCTGGCTGCAAGTGTCATCCTCATACCATGCCCTCTTCTTCCCCTGCATGAACCCAGACAACCTGTTGGCAGTGGAATAGAAAACATCACAGCCAGCACCGATGAACTGGGAAAGTGACCCTACATGGTATGGAAAGAGCTGCAGGAGGGAATGAGTATGGAAAAGACTGTATGGCCTTTCCTCAGCTCTGCTCTGCAGCTTGTCATAAATGAGATAATGTGAGATTATGCCAAAAGGCAACATGATACAAGATAGGGTATGTTGTGTGGTATTACTGAAAGGGCATGTTGTAAACTTTACAGAGAGTAATTAGCTGATGCCCTTATGTGAAGACTGCTGATCCATAGGCCATTCATTTATAAAGATTCTGTTGGAATTTTTTTCAGGCTCTGTCCATTCCACCCGCTCTGTTTATAGCTTCTTTTTGTCTTTTTCTGTATTTTTCCAAACAGTACACACAGTACTATTAACCCACATCAAAACCCTTTCCATTCCCTGTAGCAGGCCTGTTGGGATGGTACCAGGCACTATGTCAGCCAGAAAATTCACCTCACATTCCCTTAAATAATTTTAGAGAGCTCCTTTCACCTCTGCTGCATTCATATCTCCCTAAATATACCCCCTGCCTCATAAGGTCTGGAATTATAATTCCTGACCCAATTGTTACTCAGTTCAGCAAAGTGTTACTGGCATGATTATTTTAACAGGGATCATAGAATCAGAGTGGTTTGGGTTGGAAGGGACCTTAAAGCTCATCTAGTTCCAACCACCTGCCATGAACAGGGATGCCATCCACTAGAATAGGTTGCTCAAAGGCCCACTGAACCTTGCCTTAAATACAGATAGTAGAAGCATGTACAGTCTGGTTTATGAAAGATGAGATGCCTTGCTGGTTTGCGAATTGGCTATCCTGTATTGTTTTCCCATTTGTCTCATCTTCTCTTGAATGATGGAGACCCCACCTTAGCTCTCTTTTGACATATTACCAGTCTGTTTTGTTGTTTATGTAGTAGGGTTTACAGTTTACATATTACTGAATCAGTTCCCTAAGGACCTGATAACTGAGACAGTTAAAGAAGCTTGAGCTTACCGCCCTGTAATGAGCTCATGCCTGGGAGAGGTTTGATTCAAGAACATCACTTTATGCCACTAAGAAAAAGAGGTATGTAGCATACATAATGCCAGACACTGGAGAGAAGAGAAAGAAGATAAAAGAACTGGACATTATGCAAGATATACAATAGAGTGTACAGATGTGGAAAAAATAGGGAAATCTTCTGTTTTCTTTCTTCAGAGAGTTTATGATGAGCTCAGCAGTTAAATTCTGTTGGGCTATGTACACTGTAATAGCAATGTAAAGCTCCTCCAGGAAAAGATCTTTGTTTTTACTATGGACCACCGTATTTGCCTGTACCAAATACATCAAAATAATCTAGGCAGACCCACAAGATGATTAAGAAAAAGTAAATTTTTTCAAATACTGGATTCTTTTTACATTTCTACAGAAGAAAAATGCTCTGTTTTAAATAAATGCTTTTTTTTTCTTTATAAAATAATATTTCTTTTGTCCACAAACTACAATATATTATTCTTTTCAGGGTTTTCTTTAATCTTTTTTTTTTTTCATTTTTGCAAAATATATTAGCAGGATCTAGTATCTTAGTAATGTTGTAGGGTTTTTGAGCATCTGTAAAAGTGATATAATGAACGGATCCTCAACACATCTAATAACTCCCCAAGCTCAGCAATTAGTCAGCTATAGAATGAGTATGAAGGTACGAGGTAGATTTAATTGCATATATTCATTAAGAATCAATGGTAAAAGAATGGTGCTTGCCTTTGTTTCTCAGCAGTTTGAACTGATAGTAATTTTGTGTTAATTTAAGAGTACTTTCCCTTCCACCTGCTTGAACTCCTGGGATTTTTAGCAGAATTTCTCTGCCTACCCTACTGGAACTCACTTTTCATTTCTGATGAATTTAAAATCAGTGAGCTGGAGAAAGAGAGCAGAGGTTGCAGCATGGGAAATGCAACAGAGGGAAACAGAATGAAACTTACCCAAAATGTGGAAAAAAAAACCCAACCAAAAAACCCCAACCCAAAGAAAAACACTACAGCAAGCTGAATCTCATCCTGTAAACCAGAGTGCTACTGATCTTAACTATGTTCCAGCCGTGTGATGCAGTTATGACAAAGGCAAACACAGTCCTGCCAGACAGTCGCCTGCCAGACAATACCTACTTTGATTGCAAATCTCACAGCTGACCTTAGGCTGCCTGCCTCCACACGGGTGATAAACCCTTTGTGTTGGTTGCGACTGACATACAGATAAGACAGGACCTCATCCACAGCCTGTAAAGCACCCTGAGGGTGCTGACGCTGCTCAATTCCAGAAATCCCAGCACAAGAGCTGTTGCTGGTGCTTCTCTGAATTGCTGTGATGGGAGGCTCTGCATCCCCATTCCTACATCAAAAACACCTCCTCCAGTCACAGGTATTGAGGTATCACAAGGCTGGTAGCTTTGGCTGTTAAATACAGAATGTATTGGTTTTTACTGAATCCTGAAGCTTTCCTTCTCCTACAGCATCTGAAATCAGCCAGGGAACAAGGGGGAACACTTGATCCAGTGACAAGTAACCACAATTTGGTGCTAAGTCCTGCCAAACTTTTCCTGGCAGCTTTGTAGTATGTTCATGCCAAACAGATAATAAAAGCTGGCAGTTATAGGTGTATTCTGTGGTGCAAGTAACGGCTGACAGGAAAAGCTACACTGAAGAAAGCAGTTTACTCCAAAGCTCTTACACTGTCCTGTCCAGACCATACTATCTGCATCTCTGTATTCTATGCCATCATTGTTTATACTTAGTGTATCCCATTTTCGTAGCAGAGGTTGTCTCTTACCAGTGATTGCACAGTGCCTGACACAGTGGGCTCACAGTTAGGAATAGACCCATACAACTGCTATTAGGACAAAACTCTCATAAGCCCTTGGCTGTGATGTGCTCCACAACAATGGGGGCTCTTAGAAACTCCTTGATTAAATGTTTTCATACACACCCCCCCCACACATTTGGGATCATGCAGAGCCTAAACAGAGTACAGAAATCATGGTATCACTCGCAAAAAAAAGAGAATTTTACATTTCCCTGATAGAGAGCACTTAAGAATGATACTTTTGGAGACAGTCCTGATATGAAAAGTGGAAATTTCAAAAAAGTTTCCCCCTGTAATAGGGGGGAAAAATGGTACTGGGTGTCCCAAATGAAGGAAATCTAATTGCAGAATATTTCTGCAGGTAAACCTTTCTGATTCAAAGCTCTTCTGAAGAGTGATTAGAAGAATAGCCTACTGGGGTTCAAACTGCCTGCCAACTACTGCTTTTAAGAAAGGTAGTCTAAATTTGCTGTTGCTTCCTTAAGCCACAGGTATTTATACATTACAATTCCATAGCAGTGCAAATAGCCACCTTAAAGCCAAATGGACCATTAGTTATGACTCTCTACCCCTTAAGCAATACTATGCACTTGAGTTATGATTTGCCAGTTGCTGGTCTTTGTAAATATGTAGGACTACACCATTTCCTTTTTATTCTGAGATTCATTCCAGTGGGAACAGATGATCAAATCCAGGCCTCATATCACTCTAACCATGTTCTCCTTCTTCCAGTTGTTTGTAGCTTAAGAGTGTACTCTGACAAAAGGCAATACAGGCTGCACCAAATCAAAGCCAGAATGTAAAATAGGGTGGCTAAATGCCAGCACTATACCTTCTGTCCGTGCCCCCACATGTCCTCTTGGCTCTCTATGCCTAGCAGGGGTAACAATGTGGAGATGAAACTATTTCTTTCTGGTTTACAGCATAACTTACTTGTTCAGTCTGCCCACCACAGGATTCTTCTTCTGCACAGAGATTAGTTCCACTCAGCCACTGAAGAACAGGCTCAAAGGGCCATACACCAGGCAGGCAGGTCCTGCTCCTACACCAGCCACCAAATTTCAAGCAATGAACCCTCCCTTCCAGGTGACTCTGCTAGCAACCAGGATTCAAAGCTGTGCTTGCCTCTGTCTGTCATGCTTGGCTGGGTTTTATCTGATGGAACACTTAATTGCAAAAAACACTGTTGGAAAGCAAGCTGTCTTCAGCTTTTGAACCACCATTTTCAGTGTTATTTAGATTCCTAATAGGCATCTGATGGCACAGCCAAAAGTATAAAGAGGAGATAACAGTGACTGTGACTACCTTCCAGGAAGCATTCCTGACTGGGTTAATGTTCTGCACAGGAATCTCTTTTTCATTTTCTAGATACATTCAAAGGACAAGTAAGTGTTGTGGATAAGGGTATTCTTTTTCTCATGCCTTTATTAGTACAATTTCCTACTCTGATACCTCTGTTTTCTTTTTCATTTCTAGTTTTTTCTAACAGAATACACTGGGCCTCTTCTAATATATCTGTTCTTTTACATTCGCCTCTCAACTATCTATGATCATGTGGAAACTAAGAAGAACTTTCGGCACCCAGTGGTTCAGTAAGTGACACTTGTGTGAAATATTTTCCTGGAGGACAAGGAGCCAGAGGGATGGAGACTGCATTTCCAGGGCTGGGAAGGTTACAGAGGCTCTGAGGCTGCATGCAATGTCTCAGAGGCAGTGGGAGTTTCAGACTGTTATTATCAGTAGCCATTTGTTATCCTAGCAGCACTCAAAAACCTGACCAAAAACAGGATCCCAGTTGCAATGGTCACTGCACCTGGTCACAATGGAAGGTGTAGTATTTTCGCCAAGTAGTCTTCACTCTAGACTAACAGCATGAACAGAAGGTGAAATAAAAACCACAGCAGTAGTCATCCAAAGTCACACTTAACAGGGAAGAGAGGACAAGACTTCAGGTGTCCTACTTCTAGTATCCTTACAGCACATTCCCACTCATAATACAAGTAGCATCAGCAACCAGCACACAAGATAATTACCTCCACACTAGCTCTTGCCTAGGCACAAGGAGGAATTCTGAGAGATCTACATGACATAAGTCAGGACAAGAACAACTGAGAAACTCAAAAGAAGCATCATAGGAATTCAGAACTGGTACTTTGGTTTTTGAAACTAACCTCTTCAAAATGAACTATTTCTATGGGACCATACTCAAGGTGTTCGTGTTCTGAAAGACTTTTCAGAAATAAACTTAAATGACAAATAAAAATAAGAGCTCAGCTACCAGTATAAAACAGTGAAGAGAACAGCTTATACAGAAATAAATCAGAGGAGCTCATATATAAGCATAAACCAGATAGCTTTGCTTCCTTGCATCACTGGAACAGTAATGCTAACAAGGAAAATGAAACAGCTCTGATATAATACAGCAGGAGCTGACCACAATGAAACACAACCTGCTTAGTCTGCTAGCACTCAAAAATGTGCCAAAAAGCAATGAAGAGAGGACAGACAGCCAAGATGATAGCTTTTTATGACCTTCAACAGCCCCTGCCATTCCCAAGCCTTCTGCAGGACTCTGGAAAAAACAAAGCAGACTTGATCTATGAGAGGGATTAAAAACTTGCAGACAAGAAAGTGGCAATCACTATTCATGGCAAATCCCAGGGATGCTCAAGGTACTTCCACCACCAACTGTACCCCTCCACAGGATGGTGGTTAATGCACCAAGCAGGCTGAGTACTTTCACACTTAAGGAACTTAATTCACTTCAGTGTGATTGTCTCCATTCTGGAGGACTAGTGCCTGGCAAAGGGGTGGAACATGATCAGGAAAAGCCTGTTGGCTGCACAAGTTGGAGCACTGGGTGGTGAGGCACTGGAATAGGTTGCCCAGGGAGGTTGTGAATGCTCCATCCCTGGCAGTGTTCAAGGCCAGGTTGGACAAGGCCTTGGGTTATATGGTTTAGTGTGAGGTGTCCCTGCCCATGGCAGGGGGACTGGAACTTGGTGATCTTAAGGTCCTTTCCAACCCTAACTATTCTATGGTTCTAAGTGGGAACACACACAGGGAACTAGGAGCCTCAACAAACTGTACAGCTTTCCCACAACACTTTTTCCATGCTATGATTGCAGAATCAAGGTTGTTGGTATACAGCAGAGAAACACAGTGAGTAATAATACCTTTTACAGGTGCAGAAACAAAGAATCTTGGAAATACATTAAGGGAGTTAGTGGAACTGGGAAAGAGAACACAGAATAGCTGAATTCAAATCCAAAGTGCAAGACGCTTAACTTCCTTTTCTTGCTCATGTTCACAAGAAGATAATTTCTGATGGCACAGAAGTGTTAGCAATACCTTAACCTTATTTTAAGTGGGCAAGGGATGTGTGGAATCCTTCCAGTGGCTGCCCCTTAATGGGTTCATCTGAGGTTGTCATCCTAAGCCAAATTAATTTTAAAATTCCCAGCAAAGCTTAAAGTTTGCTCTAGACTTTTAGATAAGTTGTTAATTGTTTGAAATTTTCTTAGTTCAATTCTCTCTGGTTTAATTACTTTGAAATTGTTTAATCTTTGACTCTTTGAGATTTCATATGCTGAAAACCACTTTTCATTTATATCTTATAATTGGTTCACTGTGAGACGGGCTCTGGTAATACGGTAAATGTAACCAAGATAAAATGCCACCAGGAATCACTCTTGACATTTGTTTCTGAAACTCAATCTCTATGAGCTGCAACTTATTCTCGGAAGCAAATCATCAACGCCTGTTATTGTTTCATAACCTTCCTCAAAAAAGAATCAGTAAAATAATTTCTACAACAATTACCTCATTTCATTGTAAAGTGCCACAAAAAAGCCATCAGCATAGATTAACTTTGCAACAAAATCTCATTTTGCATCCACAAGGAAATGAAATACAAACTACCTCCGCGCAGCTAGTTGAGTTGGCAAAGGACAAAGAAACCATTCAGAAGATATTCAGAATGTTTTTAAATGTCAGGTACATTCTACAGGAGCATTAAGGTGGCCTTAAAACATGGGAGACATCTTCTGGAAAAGCACAGCAGATGCCTACTTTTATACACAGCTGTCCTGTTTTAATGTCTTGTCAAAACTATGTATCACATTCAGAGCTCAAGAAACTCTTTAATTCAAGGCTAGTAAAAATAAGTTGCTTGTCTGCAAAATGAAAACAACTTTTTTATAAAACTGAAAATGATTCCATTAATCTTTGGATACAGATGCTTCAATTAAGACAATACCTTAATGAATTCAGTGTGACTGCGGTTTTAGAATATTAGTCCTTACTCCTTTTATGACATTAAATTGTGAAGTAATGGAGAGCAATTTCCACTTACGTTGATTTTTTCCCTTCCAGTTTGGCCTGCTTCTGCCATTGTTTACACTACATCAGACATCTTCTGGAGACGTTATTTGTTCACAAGTTTTCGGGAGGGCACACTCCTCTGAAAAATATGATAAAGGTGACAATATGTTTATAATTTCCTGTAAGAGATAATATCCCCATATCAAACAGTCCTTGGAAGAAGACAGAAGAATAAAAAACCATTCATTTCTAGCTCCAGGAATTAGTCAAAATACAAATATAGGAAAAAATTCAAGGCCATGTCCCCAAGGACATGAACTAAAATCAATGTCAGCTTTTGCTTCTGCATGTCAATGTCCAGTTTGACTCATCCACCCAAGGGACTGAATGTCATGTCTAGGATATTTGTCAGACTGAATACTATTTTATTGTGAGATATGCTGCTGCAACATCTAGTAATGCTGACAGAAATCACTCTCTACTTCCTCAGTGCAGTATAAATATAGAGCATGAGACAGGCTTGCATTAGGAAGTGAAAACCAAATTACAGATGGAAAAAAATAAATAAATATTCTCCTTCTATAGATGGATGCCCCAAGAAGGAAGATAGTGAGGTGGCCTAAACTCTTGTGTCTCCCAAAGCCTCCTGAATTTCAACTGTGTGTCATTACTTACAGGCTCTACTTTCTTTCATTTCACATACTCAGTCTTGGTAATTTTATATCATGTCACCTCCCATCCCATTCAGTGTGATGTAAAGATCCTCCCTTTAAAAGCTTTGCAATACATTTAAGATTTCAGTGAAGGAGATAAACATATGGCCATGGTAGGGGGCTTGACTCAGTTCCAGTCAGAAAGGAGCTAATGAGATGCACAGCTAGAGAAAGCTAAAGAGCTTTGGAACCAGAGTGCCATTTCCAAAGTGATTCATGCATGTGGGAGTTAAAGACTCAGGGTTACGATCATGCCCTTGTGTACTGGTGGCATTGCATAAAAAGTTTAAAAGGAGAAAGCCTGACTTGCAGCCCTACTTATGGGATAGAGCTGTATCCAGTCCCAGCACACTGCTCTTTTCAAGAAGGTATTGAGCATGGGATCCTTAGCTTAGACACATAGAAAGGCTTTATCCAGTCTCCAGGGTGGTTTCGACTCTTTGGCTGGTGTGTTTTGGTTTTGCCCTTGTACAAAGGATGAGAGCAGTGACCCCCTACACAGACCAAGAATATGGTTGCATTATCTCTGGGCTTTCCCAATCCCATGACTTCATTCGTCAAGCAAAGGCAGCTGGAGTATTGCTTTTTAACAAGAAGATGAAGTGGGCCTGGATCCATGGGAGTAGATGCAGCATGTAGCTCAAATATCTTTATAGGAATTGTGTGCCCTTTCTTTTGCCAGGGTTAAACCAGGCCTCTTCAGTTTTACTCAGCTGGTTTAGCATTCTGTTTGGCTAGCTCTATATTTCTTGGGAATGTTGAGATTAAGGTGTAGTAGCAGTTCAGCTGTGTTAACCAGCCATAGACTTAATAGTACAACTCTAAGAAATGTGCCCTTTAGCAGTAGAATCTAATAAGGAGAAAACAAATGTCAATTTCTACAAAAGGTATAAAATGCATTTAACAATCCAAAAAATCTACACTGTGTGCCATTTTATTTTTTTTTAGTGGCTTCATAGCATCTTGAAAAGATCTATATTCTGTGACTCAAAAAGCCACTGCAAAGTCTTTCAGCAGTCATTTGTGTTTAGCACTTACCAGAATTTATAAAGTTATGGTTTGCACTTGTTTATTGCCCTAACAAAAAACCCAAAACCTCTCTTTTGTCCGTTCCAGGGCTGTGCCTTTTACTGGGGGTTCACTTCCTGGATTGCATACTACATCAATCACCCACGATATACGCCACCATGTATGTATAAGTAGAACACAAAACTGACCTTGGTTTTTAAAAAGTTTTTTGCATGCAACTTTAAGTCCTTCAAAATCAATAGAAGGCTCTCGAATGAAGTATATGACTAATCTAGCCAGAGATTAGCCTTTACTCTGTCAGAAGGAAGACTGTTGTGCATGAGGCACTCCTGCTCTGCTACTGAACGTATGTTCCTGTTCAGTCAGGGTCAATCACTGTCTAGTTTTGTGAACTGGAAATATTGACCAAGGGGAGAAAATGCAAAGATCGATATATTTTGCTCATCTTCACAATATTTGTATTAAGAATGTAGGATTGAAGCAGAGCTGGCTCCATTTTCTTAGCGCATGTATTTATTTGTTAAAGGTATATCCTCTCAATAAAAAATAATTTTTTTTTGTGAGAAACCAGAAAAAGTTAATCAGATATTAATGCTGACAATGAAAAAAAATCCTATGATTTTGCTTCCAGATTTCATTCATCATTTTGTTCCTTCTCAGATTTCATTATTACACTGCTGTTTCTTTATACTTTTTTTCTTGTTTACTCTTTAAAATTTTGATGCTTTTGAGCATAATTGGCATAAATTTTATTTCCTACTCCTTTACTTTCCTTGCTACACCTTAGCTTTTCTCTGCATTGTATTTATGAGCTTTGGGAACAAAAGTTTTGATTTGCCATTTTTATTTACACTCAGTTAAATTACGATTTTTGTTTTCAACAAAAAAATCTCCTACATGGCACTTGCTTTCCTTTCAAAATAACACACAAGTTCTATTTAAGAATTATGTGATTAACTGAAAGTTGAATTTGGTGTGGCTTTAACAGTAATGCTGCAAACAAGATTGAAACCTCCCTAAATACAGTTTTTAGCAGTCTAGACCATCAAATCAGTAGGTGCAGCTTCTTTATAGAGAGAATAATTTGTTCCGGACATAACTTTCCCACAGAGAAAACATGCAGAAGTACTTCTAATTGTTCGCAACTGCCTTAAAATGGCAATAATAGCTACATGGGCCTAAAGCCGCAGCATCACCAGCCCTCTGTCACAGCTAGCATCTATGGTTTATTTTGGGTTCAGGAGAGGTGACCTCCACAGCCATATCCAGAGATTGCTGATTTGGGGACAGGTAAGGGAAGGCAAGGAGATAGTTGCAGTATGCTATGCAGGATTTTTAGCATGTGCCCTTGGCACCTCAGAGGAGTCATGTGCCAGAAAAAGGGCTCTCAAAAGTAAAGGCTCTCTGAGACCTGGTTAGGTACATACACACGGTTCATGGCCCTCAGACCTGTAAACCTCTGGAGATGAGCATGATATAGTACTGCTGTGGCTGGGGGACAATTGCAAAAAGGAGAGAGCAGGCAAAGGTCAGGTAAGAATTCCAAAGGCTAAATACATTTCTCGTATGGCGAGACTGTGAGGCAGACAGTGGCTATATAATAAAGCCTCTCTACTGCCTCGCTACTGGAAGAAAAAAGAAAGTTATGGATAGGTTACATGTTGGGTTCTCTTCTCATGGAGATAGAAGGGCCTATGGATAATTCTGAGATTCCTGGCCTGGTTCTGCCAATGACCTGGTTCTTCTACCTTACCCCTCCCCCTTGCCTTTCCCAGGAATTTACCACCAGCAGCTGCTTTGACAACAGCACGTTGGGTATATGAAGCTGACAAACACTAGAAAAAGTTAGGTGAAAACTGCCTTGAGATCAGTGCTGAAGAGACTGTCATTTCTTAAGTACTGTTTCTGTTTACATTGACTTCATATTGTGTGTGTGTTAGTATCCACTTTTTCCTTCAGAACCTGTCAGGAAAGAAGCATTTCTGCCCCTCAGCTCTAGATTAATTTCACCCATCAAACCATGTGCATACTGTAAAATGCAATTTATAATTTCATTCTATTTTCTAGCATTTGGCTACAGACAAGTTTCTTTTGCTGCCCTTGCTTTTCTGGTATGTACAAAAATAAAGTTTTATTAATGACTGTAGAATCAGAATTACTCATTATTTAGCAAAATGCAGTAATACTGCTGTGCATTTTCCTTTGACTGGATTTAGTGAAAATCTGTTAAGGTTTCTAGGCCATTGAGTCTCCTAGTACTATTTACCTGTAAAAGCTTCATGTGAAGTACTCTATCTGAAAGCCATGAGAACATCATCAGAATTATTACTACTCCTAACTGCACTTATATTTAGATAGATTGGAACTTGCCACTTTTTAAAGGTATTTTAATACTGAAGAATTACATCCTCAGCAGACTTTGTAGTAGTACTGTGTACCTGAAATAACTTAACCTCAACAGCTATTAAAAACAGTAAAACCAATCCCCGCTAAAGTGGGTTAAGCCAAGGGAAAGGACAGGTGACAAAGGATGACTGAGGCTACTAAACCTGATATTTGAATGAATATAGCCATATAGTGAGAGAGAGATTCACTAAGAAATTCTCACATGGGAACATACATTCTCTTCCATCCTCCGTGAGCATTGCTTGTGGAAATGCTCAATGCTAACTTACCCAAGCAAGCATGGTTCAGTAGACAAGTCAGCCTTATTGAAAATCAGATGCAGATCAGTTTCCAGAAATATAACAGGGAGATGGGATAGTAATGTGTCTAGGCTCCTTCAGGCAAACACTATTCAGAAAAGCATTCCAACAACTTCTTAGCAATATTCAAATGCTTTTGTAAATCAGGACCCATAAAGATCATGGTTTTGGCAGTGAATGTCTCTGGAATTGGCCATGCAGTTCTCAGCTCTTCCTGCCCTAATAAGGTATAGCAAAGGATACTCAATCAAAAAACTACTCACAAGAAGTTCGTGCACTCGATGACGCTCTACAGCTGGAAGCGGTATTCCTGTACTGTGGAGACAGGAGGCTGTGGCAGTGGTAGGCACTGGTGTGCAGAGCACCTTACTGTGTCTGCACCCTTACTAAACTCAGAGGTTACTTGAAACCAAGCAAACCACTTGCCTGAATAGTCAGTGCTACCTGTAAAACCTTGTCAAAACCTCTGCATAGAAAAACCCTTGTTTTCTATCAAAACTTCCTTGTATCAATGCAACACAGCCTGTTACAGCTTTTATGAAAAATGCTGTCTTCAAACAAAGAGATGAATACTGTTGGGGGTATTTGCTATAAAATACGGCCATCCCCTTCAAATTTGCATCAGCACCTCATCCGTGGTCTGAATTCCTCCAGCTCTTTTGATAACTTCCTACCCATAGGAACTCAAAACCTTTCCCTTTCAGACCTTTTTCTGGCAGGTTCCCAGAGAATGAACTTAAACCAGCAACACAAAAAATTAAATAATTTGAAGCTGTTTTCACAGGTTTCTAAAGCATACAAATAAAATATTTGGAAGATTATTTTGTTCCCCTTCTTTAAAAGCTTGTCTGTATTACATACCCTGATTTAAGTGTGTATAACTGCAGCACTACTGAGTCATCTGAAGCATGTCAGCAGGCCCCTCTGAAAGAGTCTCATATTTAGAGAAATTACTCTAAGCTTTGCAGGGATGTTTTTCTCACATGGAATATGAAGAGGGAGAATAGTATGTAGACTCCAACATTCTATCATCATAAATATGATGCCTTTTTTAGTGTGGCTTCCCATAGCCTCATGTTTTACATCTGGGATACTAAGGACTAGTGTACATTTAGCAGTACTTCTTGATATACAGCATTAGCAGCCACATTTCTAAAGAACGACGTAAGAGTAGCTACAACAGAATATAAAAATCCCTGCAGAGTTATCCTTTGCTTGCTTTATTTGGAATTGATTATAAAATTAGTAGCTGTTAACTACAGTGAATCTCTCTTGCTCCACAATGGCGTGGGCATTGCACATTTTAGTGTTTATAGTGTTTCACAAAAATGCTTTTAACTTTAAAACTTTTTTCCTTCAAATAATAGTAATAATAAAAAATCATGTTCCTAGCTCATAATTGGAAGCATGTAAATTAAAATTACTTCTACTGCTATGGCTGGAATTACAGCTTCTGATATGGTACTTTATAATAGAATTTCCTTTTCTGGCTATTTAGTGTTTTACATCTGGTGTTTATGATAGATGACAGCCAGTTAGTAATTAAAAAACATAAAAGGACTGCAGGGTTTGCTCCATGAATACATTTCCATGCAGAAAATAGTTTTGCTAATAGACCTGATTTAAACTTTCCTAACAAAACCCCCAAAAATCCCTCTGCCAAAAAAAGGTAAAATTCTTCAGCAATGCTATCTAAATGTTCTTTCAGATAATGTCACATTTCAATATAGAATTAAGTTACAGATTCCTTTTAATTATTTTTAGCTGAAATTTGCTATGGATGACTTTCAGAATTAGCTTTAAAAATTACAATTGTATTTCTTTCTTTTTTCTATTAATTTTATGACTTTATACTTTTAACATCTCTAGGGTTTAGCAATCTTCCTTTTTATTTTAATTTCTTAATTTTTCCAACTTTCCAAAATTTAGAATGAAAAATGACATAAGAAAACACAACTTTTTAATACTGCATTTTTTCAGTTTGAAAGGAGAAGTCAGTCTTCAAACAGAGAAATGAATAAAACAGTTCAGTCTGAGATTGTAATGTAAACTGCATTTTGGTTTTCTTCATAAAGCAGGGGGAAATGAAAACCATAAAATTAGACTGTTGTACTAACAGGCTTTCTTTTTCAGGAATTGAAAGTGGTTATCCTACAAGTTCCTACTTTAAGTATGGGTAGTAATTGGTTTTGATTCTACAGGAGTTGTAATTGAAGTACTGAAGCCATAAACTAATCTGAAATCACCCTGTATTATGTGCTCTGTAACCAAGTGAGGAGACATGGTATCCAATGTTTAAACCATCTAAATATTAAAGACCAAGTTTGAGAGGTTGGTTAAGGCTGAAGGTGGCATTAACCAGAGTAGCAGAAACAAGAATAATACTGACTGCTCTAATTTACCAATTCATGACTACTAACCATTCGACCATCTGCTCTTCAGAGAACTGCTGCCTTTTTATTCAGCCTATTCTAATTTCCTCTATGACTTACCTAAAGGACTGGTTATTGTACTCTATAACCAGCAGAACAAAGATGTTATGCTGAACAGCTTTGAAAGCTCGTTTAGGAAGAGGGTAGGTACTGTAACTCATGACATCTTTACAAAATCAGTGGATTAAATCCAAATCACAACAATGATGTTCAATTCAGAAGGTATCTTGCTAATTTCCTTAGACTCCAGGCAGCCTCTCTGATGTTCCTAGACCAAAACATGTTGTACATGCTGGGCATGGGAACCACAATGAGGGCCTGCCTGCGCTGACCTCTATGGAGCTGAAACATGAGCTTTCACACCTGGCTGTGCCTTTGGTGCTCACTAGACACTTGTGTGTTTGACAAAGATCACAGAATGCATTTCCCATGGGAAAGTAATTTAGAAGTACATATTTTCCATATACAGAGACTAAGCTGTAATGATGGGGATTCTGGTTATGCACTGCAACACAGTTACTGCTGCATTTTAAGCATATGACTGAAAATACTTTTTTAATGTCTTGCAGATGTGTGAAGCTGGAAATCACTTTATCAATGTAGCTTTAGCTCACCAAAACCATTCAGGTCTGTCTTTGTTTCCTGTTTGTCTATTTAAGACTGAAGTGTACTTAACCTATCCATCTTCTGAAATATAGTAATTTATGTATCTACATCCACAGAATAAAGAAAGATGAAGTGGGTACCATGCCATCAGTATAACATTTTCAAAACGAATGTGGTGTCAAGGCAACATTAACAACACTGTTGTTCCAAAGCGTATAGCAAATTTGTCTTAATTAGGCACAACTATAATTTAAATATGGGCTTAAGCATGTAAGTTCTCTAAAGCATCCTGTTGACTCACAACAGAAGATTCAATTTTAAATAAGTTTTAAAAACTTTTAATCTAGATTGCAGAGTTTTTAGATATGTGCAACTCGTGCAAAGATACACACAGAGATATGTACAAATACATAAAGATAGACTCATGAATAGCTACCTACGTAGCCATCAATGTATATATATGCTCTTAAAAGCCTGCTCCAAGCATGGGTTTTCAGTATCTTTTGTACCATGAGAATAAAAGTTATACTATATATACCAGAAAGTAAAATATATTTTCAGATAATAATAGTATAATCTCCCACTATAACACCCTATTCAAGAAAATACTTCACCACAGTATGATCAACTTTGCACACAGAAGTCAGTTTCTATTCTGGAAAGCTTTTGATGTGCAGTGGTTAGGCAGGTGCTTATGTTGCTTTTTGCAAGGAGCCTAATTTGGTTTAAAAGCAGCAAGAGCCAGATAATTAATCTACATTCCCAGTGCCTACAAGTATTAAAGAGAGCATTGTTGCCAGAACATAAAAATGAAGCGTTGCATGTGTGGCATTTTGTGTGAGAATTATCATTGGCTGTGAAGAGTCATCCTGTTAGCTCTGGAGTTTTTTTCCGTTCTACCCTGGGATGAAGGATGAGGATGCAAAAGGAGGCAAGTTCACATTGTTAAGTCAGGCTAAATAAGATATAGCTGAATCCTTTATGACCCAGAGGAATGCCCTTAGACCTCACCCCCTGGATAGTCTGCATTAAACTACATGTCTTTCTTCTGCCGAACAAAGTTTGCATCCTTTGGACATGCCAGACTTTTGTGTAAAAACTGATATATGGTTCACTAAGTATTCTCACTAGCTTTTGCTGTCTGAAAAGATTTCACTGAAACTTTTCTAACAAGTTGTACTCTGGAAGCATTGGCCAGGGGATGGCTATTACATAGGTCAGTTGTGGTTAAGGCTCAGTCACCCTCTCTATTGAAACTGGTTTTGTTGAGTCTTTTTTTAATTTTCTGCTATTTTGTTTTCTTAAAGGAAGTAAATCCTGTATTCCAAGTCCAACCTACAACCCCTTCACATGGCTCTTCTTTCTGGTTTCCTGTCCCAACTATACGTATGAGGTACATGCCTTTCTTCTGATTATATGCAAAGAATAGGCAGCTGCTGTTTCAGCCTTTGCCTGCAGAGGGTCTGCAGTACCTTGTTGTAGTTCCCTCTGCACGTCTCTCATTATGTTCAGTATGTCAGAGTCTTTTAACTCTGGCAGTTGTTTCTCCACCAGACTCTTCTCTCACATCAATATCATGACTTTTGTTTATATTTGTCTCCGCTACAGAATCCCCTGTGATCCAAAGATTTACCACCCATCTCTTCACCCCATCCAGCACACTGGGGAGTTCCTTTCTAGCTATTTTTCCTTACCTGTTCCCAGTAAAAATATCCCTATCTTCATGGGGGAGCTGTTGAAAACTTACCCTTTTGCTTTACAGAAAGTAAACAATTAACAGAGACTTTTTCTTTACAACAGGTTGGGTCTTGGATTAGTTTCACAGTGATGACACAAACCCTACCAGGTAAGTTTGAAACAGAATAAAGAGTCTCTAAGCTGTTGTTTGTGGAAGTGAATCCTGGGAATATAAAATTTGTCCAAAATTTTATAGCATATGAAATATTGCCATCAAATCCCCCCTTTGACATGACTGTATAAATCTTCAAAGTGCAGAAAGTGAGAACTCTACTGCAACACCTTCTTTTGATCAAAACCAGGTCTCTGCTTTTTGTGAAGTATTGTCTCTTCTGTTTCCACAGTGAAAGCAGACTTTGAAATTTAGAAAAAAAAAGTCAGTGTTTTTCATTTATGGTCAATCATTTTTGATATAATAAAATTTCTTTTAATTGTAAACCTGGAAAAAACACTTCTAACAGGGAGAGGAAAACAGATGTACATAGTATTTCAAGAGAGGAAAGACACACGTTCCTGGTAGCATTTCCCTGTTTGCTTGTAGCAGGCAGACACTTCATAACAACAGCCTGCCTAGTAGCACTTTCGCAACTCCTGCTCAGTACTTTCCTGCATCCTCAGAGACCTAAATACCCATGCAAATATGGTCCTTGGGACTGAGCTCTCCAAATCTTTCACTTTTTAATTATTTTTCCATTCCAAACCAGAAACATATAAAAGCTGCTTACAAAAAAATAACCCCATGTGGTTTACAAATGAAAAGGGAATTTCAAAAGTGGATTAAACTGCATTATGCAAAAATAAAGCTTCTAATATTGTTTGAAAAGATGCAGTGTTTATGTGCTTTATGCTGTGTTTGGAGCATAAAGTTTGGAGACACTGTAGGGCTGCATTTACAAGGGAAAGGAGCAGCAACATATGCATCACACTCATCTTGCTGTCATTATCCCAAACAAAACTTGACCAGATGTCACATGAATGTTTCTGTTTCACCAGCTTATTCTAAGAAAGAAAGGATAACGAATTTGGAAAAAGCACCTGTAAAAGCATTCCCCATCCGGTGCCACTCAGCCCAAAGGGAGAGATTCCTGAGGGATCACTTACTGTCTCCTGATCACCACAGCAGGGGCCTGGGTATCTATAATTGTTAGGCCTTGCAAGACCTTGCTGCCAGGCGGCTAAATGTATTCATGCATCTACTGCTTACTTGCTCCAGGGCCAAGCTCTTCCTCCATGCAACAGGAAGTTGCAGCGTAGCTCCCTGCTATGGTTGGGAGCCAGAGATAAAAACAAAGGTGGCCAAAAGCAAACCAGAAAAATAGTTAAAGCCGAAGGAGGCCTTGTGATTTAAGATGAAGCCATAGGTGATACAGGGTGTGTCTAACAGTTCTGGACATCATCATCTGTGTGAGTTCTGATATGGAAGCTGAGCCTTAAGCTAGGGTATATCAGCAACTGCAAGGCTGAGAGCAAAGGCAGAGTTAACTTGTCTCTACCCACAGAAGAGACTGCATACTTTTCCATAAACCCTCTTGGTTTCACAGAAACACACACTGAAGATGACACGTAATCCTTTTTTTCTTTTTCTTTTTAATCTTTTTCTTTGGTAGTTGGTGTTTTTGCTTTCCTGATGGTCATCCAGATGTCTCTCTGGGCACAAAAGAAACACAGGCTGTACCTGAAGAGATTTTATCCAGAGGTGCGGAGAAAAGCAGCTATGATTCCTATCATCTTCTAAGCTCTTCACAGGAGTTGGAGCCTAAGCGTACAGTTCAAGAGCTAACTCAAGAGTAAATAAACCATTTCATTCAGTAACCAAAGTGGATTAGAGGAAGAAGCGCTGGGTATCTTTTTCAGAAAATTAACAGTTCAAGATGAAGAGCTCCTAATTAAGTGAAAAAATGTACCTTTTAAATTCTTAGTTCCTGCTAAAAGATATGATTTAATTAGATTTTTTGTAATAGAGCTAATTGGGAAGGGACAAGAAATTTGCTTATATTGAATGTTAGGCTAGATATTGAGCTGGTATAAATGAGCACAGATGCTGTTAATTAATACAGCTTGTCTTCATATATTCAGGTCTGGTGATTTTAAGGTCCAGTGTTAGATGTTGACAAGTCTTGGATTTTTGCATCAGAAAATGTTTCACAGCCTTATTATTATTAAACTGCACAGGAACAGCATGTTCTGCATCAGCTCCTCTAAAGCGCGACATCAAAGAATGACTGCTATGCTGTTAACACAGTTTAGTTTAGCCTTACAAGATTTTTCTTTCTATTTTTTATAATTGAATATCATAGCAAAATGCTCAATACAGATTGACTTAAATGTATCAGAGAGGTCTGGCTTTCCTTTAATTTCAGATAGATGGATCAGCCCCACAATCCCAGGAGGGGACTGTTTGTGAGGTGCTTCCCACCTTGCCACTAATTTGCAGCATATCTTTGGGTACTTCATTGAAGTCCATCCTCCTTTCTCACATTGAACAGTTTTGGAAATAGCAGAAGACCTTCTCGACTAACAATCATATTAAAAACCCTTGTTCACTGCCCAACTGCACCCAGACACCATTCACCTTACTTGTGTAAAGCACTGTGAAATCCTTGGGCACAAGGTGAACCAGAGAAAAGCTCATTATTAAAAGGATCCTGCATTTCAGTCCATATCCGAGCTGCCTCAGGTGGACACTGATGGTTCAGCTCCCCTTCAATGTGGTCGGTAGCTATATGCTACTTTGCTTTCCAGGACATTATTTTTTTGAGGGATTCTCTGGGCTTTTCAAGTCCTGAAAACTCCATTTAGCTCCATTTGCAAACCAGTTGCATCTGTGTAACACAGAAGCAAAAAGAACCAGAACTGCTTCAGTGAGTATTAAGATAAAGAGAGTTAGGGCATTAAGTCAAGTTTTCATTCTATTTCTGTTGCTCATTTATCAATGTCTTTTGGCTCCCTTAGGCTGGTGAAAAAGCTTGCCTAAAGAACTTTATAATAATTAGAGAGACACCAGAGCACACAAGCCAGGCAGGCAGTTTTCATCCTAAAAACCTGTTATCTTTGTGCCAGCTCAAGTGTTCTAACAAAGTTAATTTGCTCAGTAAATTGGGTTCGTATCACTCTTCTCATGTCTAACTTGCAACACTTATCCTATTAGCCACTGTAACTCAATTTCATCTTGGTAATGTAAATAAATAACTTTCCATATTTTTAACTTGTAATCTGTGAACACCTAGAAGTTTTCATTGCTCTCAATGGAAAACCTGAGTCACGGTGAGCACCCAGCTCTCTAACCCAGACTGCTAATAAAGACCTATATTTGAAAAATTAGTTTCTGTACTCTTTAGTCACTTATACCTGACAACAGTATTTTTGAAACTCATTTTTTCCCCATCCAGTGTTATGTATGAGTCCAGACTGTTGGCTACTTTCTAAATTCAGTGACTGGGACTGTTTTCATTTCATGTTTATTGAGTGTCTCATTTTAGCAATTTTCAAGTTTAAAAAAGTTCATGTGGGAGGGTAACTTGCCAAAATTACTTACATTATCTGTTAATCCCTTGATTAAAAAGGCTGCAGCCTTAAGTCGATTCAAGGCATGTGTTTCCAGAATGATTCCAGTTGCTAGGAGCATAGTTTCTACTCAACAGTTAGCTTAAGCAAAGGATGTGTTTCATGAATCATTTGCCTTCCTGCTTATTAGTTGGTCTTTCATTACATGGCCTGGGAGGGAAAAGGGTTTTGGTTCCTGTAGTAAAGAAGGGGGTAAGTGCAAACACTATGAGAAAACAAGAGACGATACTTTACAGACGGCTGTTTCAGATAAACATGGCATATATTTTTGTATATTTGGCATACATTGGGTTGTTGACCAGCCAAAACTGCTTTGAATGGTGTTAAGTGGCTTCACAAATGGCAATAAATCCAACTTCCCACACCTTCACAGATCTTTCAGTATTATTCCACCCTCGTTTTCAGAGCCAGTTCCATGTGATTTGAACAGGTAAGTTAAGTTCCAGGCATGGGTCTGTGGGAAAATGGTGTAAATCAGAGACCACCTCCCTCAGTCCCTCAAAGTTATAACACTAAGGAAATCTCATGGTAAAATGCAGCTCCTACTTCCTGGGTGGGATGTGGATGGCATGCATGGAGTCTACACTGTGATACTTCCCCAGGCAACCCTGCAAATGCAGAAAGACACAGGGACATTGTGCCTACTAGACAACAGTTTTGACAGAGGCTGTGTAAAAAATAACCCAGATGAACTAATGCATCTTCCTGGCTTGCTCAACAATGACTGTGTGAACATCATTGTTCAGCCTGTGGGCTCAAAGCTCGAAGTAGTCACTTCTTGGTAAACCTGCAGATGCTGACCAACATCCAGGTCCCACCATGTTCACATTGTGGCTTGCAACTGGGTTTCTGCTGTGATCCTCCAGATAGGTGAGTCTCATTTTTCCCAAAGTATTTCCGAGACTTTCAAATTCAGGAACCTAAAGTTAAGCCTTCAGACTCTGAAGGCCTGCTCTTGCCTTGAAATGCCAACCTGTAAAAGAGCAGGCAGCAGCTCAGGCTTCATGGTGGTGCATGGAGGCATTGTGGGAGAGAATGGAAGTGGCAGATGATTCTGTATGCAGTTTGGCAGCCTATATCTGGGTATCCAGTTTGGAAAAGGCCTTAAGGGTGAGCCTTATAAGACCGCTACCACATCTTTGCAGCAGAAAAGACTAAAAAATTATCTCAGTGATTTAATGTTTCCATAGGGAAAGTTGAGCTGGGAAAGACACGGAAAGCAGAAGTGAATAAAGCCATATGGTCATCCTTTTTAAAAGATGCTGTTATCACCAAAATATCTAGTATTTTGTATTAAATACCTAGTATATTGTACAAAATATCTAGTATATGTATAAAGGAAGTGATTCTAAATTGGCTTTTATCACATTAGGAACAGACATAAAACAGCCTGATACAAAAGCAGTTCTCTGAAAAAGAGCCTGCAGTGATAGCTAAATATAATAAAAATCACTGAATGTGAAGATTTCTAAAGCATACCATAAGAAGAAGAAAGCTACAGGAAAGCAAGAGACTATTTATTTATAGTTTACAAAGTGCTGCTGAACTAAAAATTAATTCAAACTATAGAGTTTTCCAGTAAGCTAATATTTTCCACATGATGCTTTATTAGCTTTCCTTTTCTGTTTTCCTAGGCACAAGTTTTTGTCTTCCAGCAATATTCCCCACCATTAACATTCATGAAAGCTTTTAGAGAAACGCACTGTATGCCTGTCCCAGTGTTCCATAGGTAAATGTAAATGAAGTGTTGTGCTGTCACTACACACAGATTAGTATCTGCATGAATAACATTTTATTATGAAAACCCTGGTTTATCATAGATGAGTGCGTAATGGCTGCTGTATATCTACAATTCAAGGCAATTTTCACATCACACATGTTTAACACCATGGAAGAATGTTTATTTTAATGGTCTCAGCACATCCTCGCCCATATGTGATTTGAACATACAACTCTTTCTGCAGGTATTAGAACCAAGAGCCAGGCTACCCAGGGCCTTTGTTATGGCCCCAGCATCTAGTTATTTATTCGTCTAGCACACCAGAGACTGTCTCTCACCCAGCTCTGCCTTGTGAGGGCATCTGAGAAAACATTTCCATACCCATCTTGTTCAACTGGACAAGCAATTGTCCAGTTGAGGAGCATCAGTCACTGCGTGAATGAAATAATCTACACTGAATTTTCTTGCAATGTAATAGTCAATCTACAAACCTCTTTACTAAAGGAAAAGAGAGGTTAATGGATCCTGATTGCTTAGATTAAAAAAACTCTACCACATATTAACACCTCCACAATATCCAGATTTCTAGCGTATACCTGCTTTTATCTAACCTTGAAAGCCTTTGAAGTCTGAAGAACCAACTAAGAAGAAATCATTTATAGTTAAAAGAAATACAAGTGTATTCAAAAATACTGATGAAGTCTTAATTAAAAAAAGCAAACTTTGTATCTTTTGTCAAAGAAATCTGACTTTTAGCCAGTTTCCTCCTAATACACAGTATTATTCTGTGAAAAAGTAATATAGCTCTTCCAGCAATCCCGTTTATTGTTCTGAAAACTCAGTAAGGAAGACTTGAGTTTTAAAATTACAAGTTTCACCATTTGGGGGCTCTTTAAAAGCACTATAGGACAGGCTCTGAAGAAAGCACACTACATCAAACAGTCTTTTCCTCTTATTCCTAATGAAAAGTTGATGAGTTTTCAGTTGACTGGTGAAACACCGTGACACTAAGTTACAAAATAAACAAATATCTAAAACGGTGTTTCTCTCCTCAAAACAAGAATAGAAAAAAATTGAGCTTTTTATCTTTTCTATTAAAAATAAGAGGCCGTTTCCCAGGTGCAAGGGCAACTTTGCAGAAGGAAACACTGATTAGAGAGCTGGAATGACAAGAATGTGGTCACAGTGCATTTTTAGGGATTAGCAGCTGTGTCTTTTTGGAAAGAAATTTCACTCTTTCTGACAACTGAGCTTGACAGAAATGGATTAAAGATGACACATCTCCAATGTGGTATGTAATGAAAAACAAAGCACCTATTCTTAAACCAACAGGGAATATTTGTCACATATACAAAACTGTATTCTTCTACACTCTGGTTTACATCATTACTTTGCAGAAGGTGCTTTGCTTTTGGACTTGGACATCTTTCATTCTAACTCTTAATTATTTACCTATTAAAGCTTTGATACATGCAGTGGTGTCACAAGAAAACCAGCTGTTGCTTTCAAAACAATAAGGACAAAGAATCTATTTGTACACTGTTGACCAGTTTAAACCCTGTTGGCTCACACATATGTGACTATTTTGCTGCTTTTTCTTTTTTCAAAGAGCCATGTGAAGCATGATGCCATGTTCAGAGACTCGTCAAACATCCTGCCTTAACCCTCTTGCAGAGCATAAAGCTAAATCTTGAAGCAGTGAACTGCAATACTCGGCACTACCTGAGCCCTAACTTCAATCCGCCTCTACTTGTTTCCTTTGCTCCTAACCTCTACAAGCTGAAGCTCTTCAGGGACCTCTCTGCAAAAATACAGGTCTAATTTTTCTATAGTAATAGAAACTGCAACATTCTCCTGCATATGTTTGAAATGTTTTCTTATTCAGAGGGTCCTA